AGAACTCTAAGTCAAGTAATGATCAGCTTTCCAAGAGATACAATATTGAAAGGCTAGGGATTCAATTTCTTGAATACATGTTAATTATGCGATCACAAGACGAAGACATATGCATAACATTTTTTCCCCGTGAAACGCTAACATTAGAAAAAGATAACGTAAAGAGAAACATGAAGTAACCCCAACTCATACCGTTGACAGCAGATCGCTCATACACTTCAAAGCAGAAAGGGACTTTGCAATATCTCCATCCGTCAGTTGTCTCTCCAGTGTAGCACCAGGGACCGTTCATCTCCTCGTTCGGATTGCGACAGTAGTTGTGACTACTGTCAAGGCCTGCATCAGGGAATGCGAGCCAACTCGAGCGCGAGAATCGCTCGTCGGTCGGGTGTTTCAACCACGGTTCACACTGGAAATCGTCCGCCTCCATGTACTTGAATCCTACATACTCCAATCCATTCTCTGTCAATCTGCATTCTACGGGCTCTGAGGGTCAAGAGGGAACGAATGAGTTCATTTTGGAAGTCGAGCATAAAAATCTTCGCTTGATGAAGTAATTAATTGACATGAGTTGGCGATGAAAGCCTGGAAAACGTATAGATTTCAATGAAATTCCTATATTGATACAAGAGCCACAATACACAATTAAATCATTTGTGAATGCTGCAGAGATTAAAATCCCCATTTAACTTGCTACATGGAAAATTACGGAATCACAAGAGAAAGCCTATGCTTTTTTTCAGTGCTTTTCATGGAATTTCATGCCGGTTTGACTTTTATTTTATCGAACTGGTCATCTGTTTCCCTAATTCAAGACTTTTTTTAAATCAAAATACTACCACCATAGCCAGATATACACAGAACATATATCTATGTATGTATTGTATATGTATATCTATGCCACATAAATACACTGTATAGAACAAAAGATAATTCATTGAGCTTGGCAATGTTATGATCGAAAAGTGTGCGTTCACGACCGAATCAATTAGTACGAAGTCTCCCTGGCGTGGCAATTCGGATAACAGATTTAGGATGGACCCATTTGACATTCCAAGGATGTGGACCTCAATTGCCCAAGATTGCCAGATTTTGAGCAGTATTTGGGTCTGCCTGCGAAAGACTTGCCACGTGAGGCGTGGAAAAATCATCTCAAAGTCGAAACACGTTCAACTTCGCCCCGGTCCATCACATATTTATGGGCCTTGTGTCCTCGACACTTCAGTAGATGTTCTTGATATCTTTAACTGCAGTATATATTTATTGGCATTTAGGGGTGGTATAGATTCCCTACTTCATTGCTTCAGCACGGGACCCAAATCTTTCCGGTTGATATCAGAATATCCAAACAAGTGCCGACATGATGTCGGCATATGTTTGGATATTCAGGACATCACGTCGAAGGACAGCGAAGCCCATACATCGAAGGATTCATTCATAGAAGTACCTGGGAATCGAAAGGTTCATATCGCCACAGGCTTTCACGGGCGATAAAAAAACATTGCTAAATTTTCTTCAATTTGCCTGTCTGACTACATGCTCAGCGGTGCTCTGGTCATTAATAGAAGTAACACTACTGTGCATTGCACCTCTAAATCATGTCTGGGTGTGAGGTTTCATCAGACTGTGTATTGTGCCTCGTCATGGTTAGGAAAACACTTACTCTCAAAGCCTTAATCCAACTCCAGGAAAAACAGTCGACGAGAGAGAATGTTATTTCCAAGTTGCATTCAGCCACAGTCAAGGGGGAAAGATTAGAGACTGACAGAAACGAGAGAATTCTGTAAATCACTTTGCCTATGGGTTTTCATGTATTTTGTCTCTCTTGAGAGGAGTTTATTTATTTTTTTTTTCCCAGCTGTAATTTCTACAACATATCCCAGACTTTCTGGAACGGAAAGTAAGCAGTAGCCCGAACAAAGCCAGATCTAATTTCCACTTCATGGAAGAGAGCGCTTTCTATGCCCCATAGAAAATAAGTGGAGCATTTTTCTAGAAACAACTTATTATTAGATGCTCGGAGTCCAGAGAATCCTAGAGAATACCTTTGGGACTGTCGCAGAAGGGGATGTCGCAGTATTCCCAGCTGAGATCCTCCAAGGATACGAAACACCAGGGCCGCTCTGCCATCGCAGGATTCCGACAATGATTCATCTCCTGATCTCCCATCATTCTTGAAACGAAATTACTTTCCACGGAATTAATTTGATAACGTTCGTAGAAAGAGAGATGGGAAAAGAAGAAATGCGGAAATAATTTCAGAGGGGGGATCTTGTTCCAATGCAGACAATTCTTTCCGGATTCCGTTCGGCTTTGGGTTCCTCTGTATTCCTTCCCCATTACCGTCATACGGCATTCCGGATATATATGTGACACCGCTTCACCGTCTGAAATGAAAGTGCTCGTGCATGAAGCGTGGGTTCGAGTGCGTCGAAAATGCATCAATTTATCAAGATAGAATCCCCCATAAATGAGAGTCATCAACAGCCTCTAACGAGGATTATACTAATGAGAAAAACTTTTCCTACTGCTTAACATACCCTCGTTTTGTATTTACCTGATTTTAATCCCGTCATTAATAATGGGATTATTGCACCATTTCGCCCCATTTGGGGACCTTTCCAACTTGATACTAAGCTTCGGAACCGAGTAAACTTCACACTGCTCTTGGAAAACACCGGGGAAAGAAAATCTGGGATAGTATATTCGATTCATAGCCATATTTAAATGTGGTTTGCATGACGGATCTATTATTAAGTATTGACATTCCTCAAGATAATTGAAGGGTTGAAAGGCAAAGTGCAAAAAAAATTCATTTTTCTGGATTCGGAAGGGAAAAGTGGTCTATATGCATGGAACTCTTCTCCTCACGACTGCAATGCATGATGACGTAATGACGAAATGATGGCGTGCTCGCATTGAAAAGTGGTCTGTCTGTTGTTCTGCATGAGTGTATTGAGTTGGGCTTGAAGTAATGAGTTTATCTGGATTAAACATCATGGAATGACCTATAAGCTCACATGCAAAGCATTCTCCTTCGGCTTCATTTTCTTCCACTTCTCTCCTAAATCCAAGAGTCTAAATATTTTCTCTCAGTTAAACTAGGGTTCTGAAGAATGCATTTTGGCTGGAAGCCGCAAAATATTCAGGATTTCCTAAATACATTTTGGGAAAAATCAAGATACTAGTATATGCAGGCAACAACTAAAAAAAGGCACGTTTCCTACATGAAACAAGAAGTGCACAAACTTTTGGCAATACCAGACGTGGTAAGCCATTACATTGGATGAATTAAAAAAAGTTCTGCCACTTAGGCTTTATTTCTAGAAGCTGAAAGCAGTGGAAAGCACATGATTACATTTCACGTACGTATTTCCCCTTTTCATCAATGCACCGTTACAATCTCATTTTTCACCTTTGGACAGTGGCACTGTGGACCTGTGAACTGTGAACACAACACAACTTCTGTGATCGAACTACATCCTCAGTTTCCTTTCCAGCCATGTGCATGTCTTATCCACCTGGCAAACATATCAAAGGATCAAAAACACCTTCGCGATGAACATCTATCAAATCCTGATGGATTTTCTTTGCTTGGTGTTGAGGGGTTCAACGAGAGAAGGCATGGAAGCGAGAACATCCCCTCAACTTTGAAATTCATTGAGAAATTGACCAGGGGAAAACACAAGGTGGCGCATAAAAAACTCGCCGAGATTTTTGTGCCTATTTCCAGATGAGGCAGAGGCATACAAATCGAACTGCGCATGTATCTCTCTTCTTTTAATTCCGTGGAAGCTATACATTTCTTACTATCAGAGTACACCCACAGCGGCAGTTCTACTAAGACACCTGGAAATTTTCCATGTCACAGTTCGGAAGAGTCACTAAACAAGCTCCTTATGACTTCAAGTTGACCTCTTTCTTGGTGCTAAAAGTCGAGCTGGTGAGTCGAGTGATCCAAGATAGATCACTTCATTGCTGAACAGAGAGCCAGCATTCAACAGGCCTGGAATGAGGTTACCGTGGAGGAGATCCACGAGTACATCACTTAATGGAAAGCGAGATTACGTGCCGCATGCCACGCAAAAGGAGAACCCATTTCGATAAAGGGGGGGTGTGATTTGAAACATTTATAGGTGCCTTAGTCGAACAGCTGCTGCGGGTGTGCTCTGGTAGCTATAAATTCTTAATTTTAATGGAGCCAAGAGGAAGGATAGATGTATTCCTGGTAGGGTGCGTATGTCACTGCCTCATCTGGAAACTGAGAAATGAACGGAAAAATCTCAAGCGTTTTTTTTTTAAGCGCCGCTCGGGTACGTATGTCTTTGCATACCCCTCTCACGAGGCTCAGCTACATGCAATAAAAGTATGAGTCAGAGGTCGAAATGCTCTTAGAGTACCAACATGGATGAGCGAAAAAGGCTTGGCATCAGGTGCTACCCGACAACGTTAAGTCTCTTTTAACTACATAACTTTTTGATATCCCATACGACGGGCTAAAAGGAAAATAATTTCATCTACAAAAGTACCTCAAAAGAGAAAAAAATTGGTCTAATGTGCAGGTCCACCTATACCTTTCTCTGGAGATAAGTAACCTGTAGGATTTCTGCAAATAAATAAAAGATCCAATGCATGCACCACTTCTTAACCCTTTCACATATGAATTTTTCGAGCAAAAGAAAAATATACCTTTTGCTTTAACGTTTAAGGAGGTACTTTGCCGTAGTAGTCGTATGTTACACCGCTTGAAAGCAACCCTGAAGAGATTTTGTGACCTTGAGTTGCCTGCATACACCAAAAGTTTCGAGGTATGTATACTATGGCTAAAAAACATCATCATCGCCAAAAATTTTACCCTCCACTAGAGTGGACACCATGCGTGAAAAGGTTAATTAACAGTGCAAGGTCGTAATTTTCTCCTTCTGAAGCTTTGGAATCTGTTTCTTGCAGATAGACCACTTTTCCTTTCAGTCCTTCAATTAAGGAATAACTTTTAAGTCTTATGACTCACTCGACCCGCATCCGCCTTCTGTCTCGCATGTCCTCTCCGTGTGTTTCTGGGCACAGAAACGCACATCGCAGTATTCCCATGCATTTTCGGAGTCTCCAGGTTTCTGGATGTTGCACCAGGGACCACCGGGCTTCCCAGTCGGGTTCCGACAGAAGTTGTGCTCATCCGTGAGGATGTCAGGAAATACTTGCCTCCTTTCTGCAAACATTTCTTCCAAGATTTCTCTCTCCCAACTCAGCCAAGGATTGCATGGGAAGCCTGAAATGGTCTGGCTCTTTGAGCCCATGTATTCCGCTCCCTTCTGACTCAACTTGCACTCTGGTGCCCCTGAAAATGCAATCCGATGACATCTCATTCATAAGAGTGTGGTCTTAGATCGACGTATCTGCGGTAGTTGTGGCGTTTCTGTGGCTCTTTAGTGATTACACTATCTGTGGCTTGAATGTTTGGCACACTTAGCCCACGTTTAGCAGACAGGTGTTTCACGCACTAGTGCAATCTGACTGAAGGTGAGTGAAAACTTCTGCAAATGCTTTAAAGCTTTATTGAGTACCGTACGGATCATTTTGATCATAAGACATGCATAACTCAAATATGACAAAATTATCATTATTAAGCCTAATTATCTTCATAAATGTGGGATGTTGTAAAGTCACGGCAGATTTGCAAGTTTCATATGGAGATATACGTATCTCTGAAGTAGACAAATAGAGAATTAGAGGTACAGTACGTATCTCAGGCAACAGAACTATGCCCGAAACATGATTTTAGCGCTTTTTGTCCATTTTCTGGCAAAAAAATGTATAATAAATTCTGAAAGCTGATACTGTGAAATCTCTTCTCGTGAAAGATGTGAAATGTGGATGATTCAGAACCCCCAATCGAATGGTTCAGAGCACGAGTGATAGATGAGAAGTCCTGCTAATTTTTGGAAGAATCATAGTACAGTACTTTAATTGGTAAAACTGAAAAAATATATCCATGAAGATACAAGGTGGGGCAAAAGAATGTACCCAATTTGAAAATGATATTACAGGATAACCATACAAGATAGGATTGAATAATAAAATGCATTAAGCAGGCAAAAGTCAACATTTATTTTACTAATTAACCCTTTCTCCAGTTGCAGGTTCAAAATGCCTCAATTAAATTTACAGCAAAGAATCTTTATTGTTGAGGTGCATATCAAAACTCAATTCTTAATTGACACAGCATGCATTCAGAAAGGAGTTTCCAGGATGTGAATTGCCAACAGCTAAGACAATACAACGAATTCCCACCTTTTCCCCCTTCATTTGGTCAAGTGTTAAGGGCGAGTAGCCTACTCAGTGATGGTCCACGTTGCAGGAAAATTCCAAAAACTAGGCATTTGTTCCACGAACACCTCTGAAGTGTGTATGTGCTTCAATGCTGCTAGCCTATGTCACAACAGGGGTAGGCATGCTACGGAAGCTTAGCTGTTGGAATTGTTATGTGCTGCGGCCCATCACTGGGAACCGTCACTGGTTCTTCTTTTACCCTATATGGAGCAGCACATTCATACTCCCCGTTCCTGCCATGCTTGCACATAGGCATGCAATCTTGGCTCTGCTTGTCGTGGATGTAGCGTACACATAAGCCACACTTGGCCCATTGATGTATTGATACTTTAAGAGATGCCACAGAAAACGCGGACATTAAGGTTACGCCCTATGTTCAGGGTGATCCCAAAGTCACGCACAGCAACTATATACCCTCGTAGACATACTTTTTCCTTATACCATTTGAACATAAACTTCTATCGTGTCAAATGGATTCAGAATGCGCTGCAATGTTCTACAAATGGGAGATGTTGAGGGACATATCAAACAGTATTTCATAGAATTTTCTTGGAATTTGCGACAAAACGAAACTCTTGAGCGCCAAATATCTCAAAATTGGTTCATTGTGACCGACTTTCCCCTGCGTAAATTCAATTCGCAAGAGTACGACAATGAACAACTATTTCATGAAATTGAAAACTGAAACTTCAAAAGGTGCCTTCAAAGTGACAAGGCTAAGCCTGCTTCGTTCACTGACGTAAATCAAGAAGAAATCGAAAAAAAAATAAAAATAAAAACCAGGAACTAACCCGTACTGATGCCTATTCATCCATCGGCCATTGATATCAATAAAGTTTATTAAAACCATATGCAAAAATGAATAACCCAAATAAATAATTTTAGTGGAAGAGGAGTCTGATCTTCCTTCGACGATATGAAAACGCAGAGCGAATACCTTCCTTTATCATTCAAAAAAATGAAGAGCCCAACAGAAAGCCGATACCTATGTGAAGTACAAAATAATCACCTCAGGACGTGCCCAACCCGCTACCTAGACAGAGAGGGGATCAATATCTTATCGTTAATCGAAACCATTATCAGTACGTGGAATCTTCATGGAATGTCTAATATAATCTTTCTAAAGAGAATATACCTATTCAGTATGAAGCGGGCACTCACTCCGATCATTGCAAAGTGGAATCTCGCACGACTCCCACTTCAAGTCGTCTTCTTCGATGAAGCACCAGGGTTTCTCGTTCAATGTCGGATTTCGGCAGAAATTCTCGTGGGAGGATGGATCCTGGTTCAGGAAATGCTCGTCGAAAAACATGCCGTCATTGAACCCTTTCCCAACTGTGCTGTATGACGATGCCACATTTGAGGAATCCCATCTAAGGCAGGGTTTTCCTGTCTCTGTCACGCTCACTGTCCCCATGTATTCCTTCCCCTTCTCCGTCAGTCGGCATTCGGGATAAACCACCTCGTCTCGGACTACAAATCAGTGTTTGGCAATTGGTGGCATGAACCAGATACGGTTCACATCACCGACTGTCACCATACGGAATGTGGTTCATGAGTATAGCATCAACATATCAGTTCTCTTGAAGAACATGCCATCGCATGAAGTCAGATACAGCAATGCCAATTCAATTATGCCCGAATCGAACACGCCACCTCACTGATGCTCGGGTCAGAAGACCCGAGCATTTTGGACCTGATCGTCCTGTAGCAACTTGGTGCTACGCGGTGAGCCTCCTGCTACAACTTATCTCGATACAATCCTTCAGTCCAGTGCATAACGAATCGGCCATTACGTAGGAAATAACTTGAAGGCTGTAACGATACTTTCGGCATGGCATCTAGTATATCTAGCTGGTTTCATCAGTTCCAAAATTTTCCCAAATCGAGGAGCGTAAAGAAATCACATGACTCCTGTCCCGACATCATCCTAACCCGTCTCACGATGAGCCTGGAGCGAAAAGCATCAGCTGAAACTAGCATTATATTCATTTGAAAATGACGTCATGCGGGTCTTGCGTTCTATAACACACTCTTGCATTATATGTGTATCGAAGGTCACGCAATGCAAGAAGAGTGTCCATGGTGATTGGCGATAGAATTCTTTTCAAACAAAAAAAAAATACATTCCGGGACCCTCTACACTCTTAGAAAAGGGTGAGCGATTTCCTCAAAGGGAGCGAAACTGGAGTTAGGGGTTTTATTCCCTAAAAACAAGGAAATGCAGCCGCTCACCTCGCTCTTTCCTGAGAACAATAACAAACTTTTTCTACTAGTTTGAAAAATACTCCCCCTCATTTGTTTCACGCTCTTAAAAAAGATATGGATTTTGCTCTCATAAAGGAGTAGTTATCGATTGCACTTCTTCGTTTTTAGGGAGTAAAACCGCTGACTCCAGTTTCGCTCCCTTTCTTGGATATCGCTCACTCTTTTCTAAAGAGTGTAGAGTGCTCCATTCAGTAGGTTTTCAGCTTTAAAATCTGAATAGTTCCTTCGTATATCCTGCCCAAGGGGAAAAAACCAGGTTTACGCCTGTGATATTACAAGAGCAAGGAAGAAATTTCCAGGAAGGAGCGGTAATTAGACATCAAGAGCGAAGCGGGGTAATATGATAGCAATTTTTCGCTCTTAGAAGACTCTAAGAACCTTTCGTTTTTCATTAACTCTGATATAAATTTTCCTCATTTCTGTTATTATTTTTCTCTCTCTCCCTTAAAGAGAACGACTCCTCCTCGATTGGCAAATAAAAGGTATTCCTTTCGCTGGAAAAGAAGCCTTGAAGACGGAGAGGGAGAAAAAGATTCTGGAGGACTCACGATGTGTGAAGGCCAAATAGCCATCGGCCGGGATCATCTCGTGATTTCTAGAGCTGATCAGTTGACAGGATCCATCCGATGGGCGAAAGTTGAAAGCTCCGCAGGGTGCTTTGGGGTCGGCATGGATGCATTTCACGGCGCAACTTGCCGAACTCGCCTCTCGGGACTCTCGAGCCACGGCTTTGTATCTCTTTCCCGGGGAAGTCAACTGATATTCCAGGGATCCGTCCATCGGAATCACCCCGGGAATCAAGGGGATCAGGAGAAAGAGGAGCTGCGTCCACGCTTTCTCCATTTTGAAAGACATTGCTGATCGACCTGGATCCTGAAAGTAAAGCATGATGAATTGTTTACTTAGGGCATAAGACGCCATCACATAATGAAATATCGACCGGTAAGCAATATGGTAGAATGTATTAGCTTGATTATTCCCCAGGTGTGCATGAAGACCGTCCTTGAAGTCTGCTACACTTATTAGATACAAAAATCTCTCAAGGAATTAGTTTCTAACAGGTTTCTAACTGTTCTAAAAGTTACCTATTCTCCTCAAGAAAGTAATAATATGCTGGTTGAGGAAGTACTTGATGTTTTCACCTGATTATTTCGGCTTGGTTATGTTGTGCCTCAGATCTTTTACACGGTGTCTGTACGTCGCGTTAAGTTCATTTTCCGGTTTCATATTCCATCTTGGCAAAGGAATACTTTGAACACATCGAGCAAAGTTTTAATGTCATAGGATGAGGCAATCCTAAGAAAACTTGCTAATTTTCGGGGTTTCGTTATCGGGCCGATGTCGAGTGTTTAGCCGAATCAGTGGTAAGTTGAAATCTGCGAAGGCAATTTCAGCAAGTTGCTCAAGCGTTTGATTGATGTAGGGCATTTGAGATGCATGCACAGACGAGGCTTCGTAGCACAATGTAAAAAATATTGGTTCAGACTGGAACTCTTCAATGGTTCTACATCCTTAAAAACGTTCCAGGTACTGTGGAACCGTATGAATTGGTTCCACCACAGATATAGAACCATATGAAACGCCATCGCTCTTGTAGAACCTCTGGAACTGGCCGTTGGTTCTAGGTACAACCATTTCTTGTACTTTCTCAAAATGGTTCAAAAAAGGATCCCGTCAGGGCTTGATACGGCGATAATTTTTTTGCATACACTCAGAACCCCCCCCCCCCCCCCCCCACCCCGGACTCGTCACTCTCTTTATTTAACTATTTTTTATCAATCGGCGCAAGATGGTGCCTAAGCGCCGACTAAGCGATTCTCTCCATAGTGCCATTGGAATGAATCCCCTGTGTTTTTCCTCACAGTACCCATAGACTCCAAATACTACTGACCAGTGGGTCCGAGGAGACATACTCAATTTTCCCAAGTCCTCTACATGGCATGTAATAGAATTTTGTGCCTAGTAAGAATTTTGTGCCTTGTATTCAAGAAAGATAGAGCTTGACAATGGGTTTGTGGGAATATGTCTGGCTCTTCCCATAGGAAAAAATAAATCTGTGGATGTTGCCAGACTATACCGGACAAAATCAGTTATGTCCTTCTATTACTCAACTCTAATTCCGATCTTGTGAAGGAAATACAACTTCAGAGGGACTCTTCCGTGGCATTAGTACTTAATAGAGTAATCTTAAATCCTCGAGGCTCTTCAAGTGACACCTTCTGTAAAGGTACTACATGTTACATAGGTGGTTCTCTATGGAACCATTTCAATAAAGAGTTCAAGTGAGAACCATTATTTTTACATCGTAGGAGACCCACGGAGCATACAATGGCGAAGGACGACGACGAAGCTCTGCCTTTTCTTCGATCCTCTTCCTCAGCGCGATACAGAGAACCTCCACATGATCTCGTCCCCGCATCACGATATGGGCCCTTCGAAGGAAGGAGAAGCTACAGAGTTTGGGAGATGAGGGTATGGAAGCTTGGGAATTCCAGCATATTCCCCTCGTTTCTCGTCTTTTTTTTTTACTCTTCCACAGTCAAACATTAGTCATCGGACCATCAATGGCTTTTCGGCAACGCGTAAATAAGCCTTGGTTGGACCATCTTTGGGATATGGTTGACTTACGGTTGGTTTATGGCGGCTTATGGTCAGGCATGTCCTATTGGCCTTCATCGGTCATACTTTGGCTCATTGTTGGGAAACCTCTCATGCCCCAACCATAAGACGACTTCAATGGTGAAAATATATAGGAAAAAAACTAACATTAACTGCATCTACATTATCATGGATCTTGGAGAGATAAGAATGCATTTTTTTACCCCCTACTGCTCCTTCATTTTGGAATAAATCATGTCGCGTAGCCTATAGGAGAGAGTAGAAGGATCCTCCCACGGACTTCCGAGCCGGAATTCTTGGTTTATTCCAGGACTAGGTTCCATCTTCAATAAATGTTTCAATTGTCTTCCTCTGAGATATATGCGAGAAACCATAGGGGACGGTGTTAAAGAGATCGGGGACTCATTTCGGTAGAATCCGAGAAGTGACTCCCTACTACGACCACTTTGGCTCCATCTCACGCCGCTTTTCAGAACCGTATCTGCCACATTGTCTCATCTTCGGCTTATTTGTGAGTTGGATGGCCGAAATAAGCTAACTTCCCAAGCTATGGCCCGACGATGCTCCAACGAAAATTGTTTACTCCGTCGAGTTCTACAGATCTGCCCCTTCTTTGTGACGAAGAGCACCATAAAATCAGACCTTACTCACTTATCTTTCATCTCTTGCCTCCTACTGACCATTTCCTTTCCATTTTCTTTGATTAAGTTTACCGCAACTAGATTGCCGCAGGACTGAGTCTCCAGTGTCACTCGGCTTGGGGAAAATTACTCCATCAATACAATACAATCTTCTGGCAACTTTTTTTGCGGCTCCCGATATTGAAATATGGACAACTCTGCATAATGGAATACTCTAGGGACTACTGAATTTTATCCGTAATTTTCCAATAACGGAAACCTTAGTATTCCAATAGCCGAAACTAAATACATTTTTCCTACTTCAGGTGAGTCCTGCCATAATAATATGGTCATATGGATAACCTAATTTTTCGTATTTCACGCATGAATAGGTGCAAATATGACGTCTAAGTTGTAAATGAGTAAGTTAAATGGTGCATACTAACACCATGGCCAAAAATAGGCTGTTTCCGCGATGATTCTCCGTTTGCCCTAATAAAACCCAATGGTTTATATTTTTCAAGATATATTTTCCCTGGGCACCCCAAAGCCCAGATACGAATCTCATCGACCATCTGCGGGGGCATGTGGATCTTCCGGGTGTGAGTAATCCGTTCGAGTCCAGTCGATATCGTGAAATTAGAGGAAACACGGATTTTGGGGGAAACAGGCCGTGATACAAAATCTCATAGATTCGATGTCAAATGGTGCAAATGCTCTTCGTGCTGCAAAATGGGGCCCGACCAAGTACTAAAAATGTCTTACTTGCCTTTATATGTCTTTTCCTGCATCAAACTACATATTATGATTATTGTATTGTATATTCTGTATTGTATTGTAATGTGGCCAAATTATTATTCCAGGAGTTTGTATATCCCAGGATTTTCCGCATTCGTAATTTTTTAAATGCCTCTTTCCGGTTTTACTTTGCACTTGTAGTTTCTTCTGCCATTTTTTTCATTCATTATTCTCCACTTATGAGAAATAGTATATTTATATTATTCTCCATACATTTTTATGTGCTTTCCATTCGCTTCATCATCTACTGAATTGAATGACGAAGAATAACGTGTGCACACTGAAACGTGAAAAAACTACTGCTAGCAGTGTAAGCCAGGGTTGTTGGGAGGGGATGAAATAATTGCTTCTATAAGTGAAATATGACGGGAAGAAGGGAAGAATGGTCTATTTGGACATTTTTTCCGAGATATTTGATGATTGGTTTCATCAGTGGAATGGCATATATGTACCTGGACAGGGTACCCTAGTAGATTTTGGGACCAGTGCAACTCCCAAACTGCAGAATATAATAGCCCAAAAATAACTAGGCAATGGCACGAATGCACACAAATATGCAACATGTTCCCCAAGAACCAACACCTTGTGCGAACACAACACAATAACAATGACATTACCGGGTCAGCCCAAAGTTCTGGAACATGACAAATTTGGATTTACTCAGGAAGTATTAGAGGAATCAAGTTCAAATTTTTCACAGATGGTTATTACATATCAGAGTACATGTGGACAAAAAATTATTCAAAATGGCCTCCACCAGCCTTGATGACACACTGGAGACGTCCCTTGAAGGCGTTGGCTGAGGTTAACACATAATCCATAGGCATTTTGGCCCACTCCTTTGTCAAGGCCGACTTGAGGGAGTCCAGATTCGGGTGGTTGATGCTACTGGCCTTGGTCTCCAAGTAGGTCCACACAGAAAAGTCCATGGGGTTCAGATCGGCGGAAGAGGGGGGCCACTCCTCCTTGCTCAGAAATCCAAAATCTTGCTTTTTCAGCCAATCCTGAGTAGCCTTGGCAGTGTGTGCTGGGACACCGTCTTGCATGAAGGTCCAGGGCTTCTTGCCAAATTTCTTCTTGGCCCAGGGGGTAACCACATCCTCCAGGATGTGTTTGATGTAGAAATCCTTATTGACCTTGACTCCAGGGGGGACGAACACGAGGGGGGTCTTGCCGGAGGCAGTGATGCCAGCCCAGACCATGACAGATGCCGGATGTTGCCTCTGGAAATCTGTTTTCAGTTCTGTGGAGACCTGTTTAATGTCCTTGGCCAGATCCCCGTCATTGTGTCTGTTGTGGATGCGTTGGACGGTGAACATCTTCTCATCTGTGAAGAGAATTTCCTTCAGTTCACCTTTTTTCAGCTTTTTTAACATTTCCTTGGCACAGGCAAGCCTCTTGGCCTTTGTGTTCTCAGACAAGACCTGTCGTTTCTGGAGGGTGTAGGGCCGCATCTTGAGGTCGTATCAGACCAATTTCCTCATTGTCGTAGCACCCATGCCGGACTCCTTGGCCATCTGAGTCATGCTCCTCTGTGGATTCCAACGAATCTTGTCTCTGATGGACCTGATGGCCTCAGGGGTACGTTTGGACCTCGGACGACCACTCCTCGGACGGTCAGCAGTTGAGCCTGTCTCACTGAACCGTTTCAGCGTCCTCCAGACAAAATTCCTGTCGATGGCGAGGCCCCGATGTTCCTTCACATTCTCGCTGGGACGCTTTCCAGCATTGTGCAGCTGCAGAACTGCCTCTCTCTAGGCCTCCATTTCCAGAAGGAGAAATCCAATATTTTGTTTTTTGCGGAGCCAACAGAGTAAACAATCTAAAGAAATTGTTGGAACATTTTTCCTTCACTCCTACAACCACACAAACGAAAAGGAATACCGATGTTCCAGAACTTTGGGCGGACCCGGTACAGCTAAAAAGCTTTCCCTAGGTGATAGCCAAACCACAAAATATTAAATAATGATCAAAGAAAGGGGGGATCCGCAGTATAGAATGACTAGTCGAAGTAAGTGCCGCACTTGCATATACAGTGGTACCTCGCATAACGAACGCAATTCGTTCCAGCGGTGCGTTCGTTATGCGAAACACGATTTCCCATAGACTTCTATGGGAAATCATATAATCCGTTCCACGTCGCCGCGAAAAATCAAGGAAATTAGGAAAAAATGTTTCACTTTCACTCGCGAACATACTCACTCGCATAACGAACGCACCGCTGGAACGAATTGCGTTCGTTATGCGAAGTACCACTGTATACCTACACATTATATGGAAAATTGAATGCAGCTAATGCTTCAGAAGTACTGAATCACTTTCATAGCCTCATTGCTTCCTTCACCGAAGAGGCCCCCTCAGTGGAGGTAGTGGAAAGGGCAGAAAGGGATATCACAGGCTTCGAATGTGCCATCTTCAACGAAACAGGAGGGCACGTCAAATACCATGCCTGGATTGCGACAGAAGTTGTGATCCTTTTCCCTCACGTCCTCCGGGAACCTCGGCCAAGTGAGCTCGATCAACTCAGAGAGGCTCCACGGCAGACACGGACGACCTGACATCGTCAATTTTCTAGTTCCCGCGTATTCCTCTCCATGTCGCGTCCATCTGCATTCCGTCTTGTCTGGTGGAGAGAAAAAGTAAGATTCAGAAGAATGTACCTTATCTATATAAGAAATTTTCAGAAATATATATATATATACATGGGCGTCCGCTCCCAGGGGCAAGGGGGGGCACTTGCCCCCCCCCTGGAAATCGGGCATGGCAATTTACTGGTAGTACTATACAAGAAATTTAATGTACTTCATGTGGAAATCTCTTCTTCCGTAAAGGGCTCTAATTAAATGACAATAGAAAAATAATAATCTATGCAATTTAGAAGTATTGAAGAATTCAATAAAGAACTTGACAAACAGCCAAATGATGAAAATATCATTCTTGAAGACGGAATATTGTGCTCTTGGGGGGTTTTCGGAGGAAAGAGGCCAAGCATAAGAAAGATATTGACTCGTAAATGACGAAAAGTGCCCTTCTTGTTGTTTGTGATGCACCATTTCGCCATAAAAAGTGAAATTTGCTCTCCTTCATTTAAGCTTACAGTGCCAGCTTCGGTCCCGTCTCCCAGTGTTGCCGGATGTCGTGTCGAAATAATGCCAGATTCAAGACTACTTCAGCCTTCATATCGGCGTCTGGATTTTCTGTTTTTTTTTTTTCCAATGCATGAGACATTTTTGCACTGAGTTCATGATATGAGCTGAGAATGAAGCGGTGGTTAGCAGAGATTGATAGATATGGTCGGATATAGAGTTATCTCATCCGGACATCCCTGAATTAATAGGATAGCGCGCACCATAGAGTTCATGCTTCTTGGAGCCATTCTTTCCTCAGACCTGTTCAAGATGGTCATGAATAGGCCTGCGATTAGCCAAACGTTACATGTCCTCTAGGAGATGCCTCGAAGGCCACAGATTCACCCTAATAGGGCTTATTGGCCCCGTAAGTCGAGAATTGAGTTTCTTTTGAAAGAAAAAAGGTAGGTCTTGGCCTAACATGAAGGCAATCCGTTGGTTAAGCCTAGACCTAACGTTGAGTCCCGTAGGAAAGAGTCGGAAGGTTGAAGAAAGGGGAAGCCTTTAAAAATTGGTTTTCACATTACCTCATATACTGTATAAATGAAAGACTCGCATAATGTGCCCTAGGGATCATGGGAGGCAAGATGAATACATTATTATTAGACATATTCAAAGACATCCTCTGTTACCTGGCATATCATCCCTTGAGACGTATGGATGGAGTAAGCGGATCTTGCAATGCGAAACTAGCCTACATGATTTGGAACAGTTGTTATGAGAAAAGAGCCTTCATTTTGCTTGCTCCATGGGTCATATCAATCTGTCATTGATGAAGACGGTGCCACCATAGAACCACGTCAATCAGTTCACCAAATACTTAGTTTCATTGTGAATGCGATCGGCTTCTTATAAACTATGAAATATATTGGAGATTGTTTTATTGGCAATTTTATGCTCCTTCGCATTCTTGGAATATCACTTTCAGCTTTTGTTGAAATTGCGACATTTACATTGCTTTATGAAAGTTATTCTGCATCAAAACGGTGTATCTATTTTCGGTATCGCTCATTTGGAACCGTTTCGTGATGTAATAAGCACCGTATTCAGCAGAGTGAGCTCACGGGGGTAGTTGGGGCAGAGAGGGATGTCGCAGAACTCCCAAATAATATCTGGATCATCAACTAGACACCATGGTCGTTCCTTCAATGTCGGATTCCTGCAAAAGTCCTCTTCCCATTTGGGGTCTCCAAAGCGGAAATGGGCGCCATAGGATATATTGTGGTCGAAGTCGTCAGTCTTTGGGTAGCTGTGTGAATACGTATCCCATCGGAGACAGGGTTTCCCGGTCACGGTCCTCCTCGCTGTCCCCACGTATTCCTTCCCCATTTCGGTCTGTCGACACTCCGGGTAACCTTCCGCCGGCTCACCTGTCATATTTCAAATAGCAACATTAGCTATTGTAGTCTCATTATTGACCTTTGACGGTCAGGACAATTTTGCACCAGCCTGAAGAACTTTAAGTGTTCTAGTGAGCAGGTTTCCTAAAGATAAAGAACCGAAAGGCTATCGATTTAATGACTTGAATTTATGCAAATTATGCGATACACAAGATGGGGGACACATGCACTGAAAATTTTACTCGCGAAACACAAACATTAGGATTAGAATACGTGAATGGGAACACGAAGTAACCCCAATTCATACCATTGACAGCAGAACGCTCATACACTTCAAAGCAGAAAGGTACTCTGCAATATCCCCATCCTTCTACAGTTGTCTCACCAGTGTAGCACCAGGGACCGCTTCGCTCTCTGTTCGGATTGCGACAGTAGTTGTGACTACTGTCAAGGCCTGCATCAGGGAATGCGAGCCAACTCGAGCGCGAGAATCGCTCGTCGGTCGGGTGTTTCAACCACGGTTCACACTTGAAATCATCTACCTCCATGTACTTGAACCCTGCATACTCCGATCCCTCATCTGTCAATTTGCATTCTGCGGGTTCTGAGGATCAACAGAAAAAGATTGATTGCATTTAGAAAGGCAGCTGTAAAATTTTCTCTCCATGAGGTAATTAATTGGCATGAATTGGCCATGAAAGTCAGGAAAAACCAGATTTTTCTCCATTTGCTCGAGATTGCCAGATTTTGAGCAATATTTGCGTCTGTCCGTGAAAGACTCGTTACGTCGATCGAGGAGAAATGATTCTTGACATTGCGAACTGTGAAAGGAACGGCGCGTTTAGGTTTCCTTGCTGTGCGCTTTCGCTTCAGCTTTTAGTTTTGGGAGACGAATACTCGCGTATATGATGTAATCGTTTCAATGTCCGTCCATCGACTGTGGCCGCCAATCGAGTGCTATACTTCTCGGGCCTATGCCGACAAATATACATGTCCACAGACAGGGAAGGATCACATATCGTCAACTCAGTTCAATTTTCATGAAAAATGAGTTAGTGACATCTAATTAACCCACATGGAGAGCAGATTCAGGAGACATAAAGGTTTTGTGCGAATTCCCTCAAGAAAGGCTACAATTAACGGTTCTTCAAGGTTCTATCTGCCCGGGTCTCAAACATTCAGTTCAACAATTTTCTATCTACAGTTCCTGGACAATAGGTAAACACAAAAGTCTGGAGACTTTTGATTGGTTTATTATCCAGGGTAGGCGGTCCCCTAATGCCAGCAGCCGATCCGATCTCTCGTTAGCACAGCTAGCACCATTTGATGAAATTGTGCCTAACATCTAGCTCATGCTCAAGCAAGATGGTGGCACGGGTAAAGCCTGTATTTCAAGGGTGTGTTTCATTGAAGGGTGAGAGGTAAAGTGGCTTTTCTGGAAAAAATTTCCGAAAGAAGTATATTTGGTTTAGTGCTCATAAAACCTCGTTCCTTTCATAGAAAATGCCATTTTTTGTAATTATGTAAAAAATGAACTTAACTAACGATACATACAATTTTCCTCACTTTTAACATTACGTTAACATTACAGCAGAATATCTGAGTTCTGTTCTTCTGTCTCTTTTTCCCGTGTTCTTCATGTTGTGAACAGGAAAAATCCCATAAACATGATCAATATGAGTCAAACTGCCTCAAAAGACTCAAAATTGCCAATTTAATAGTTATTCCATTTCGTTGTCTGATACCATTCACTCGTAGATCTCTATTTCAAGTTAAGTTTAAGTTTTAGTGATGATGTTTTTCACAAGGTCAGCATCTGCAATATACCAAATACAATGCAAGGTGCACGTCTCCCTGAACAACTGGCCAAGGGAGGAGGTAAAGGTAAGGGGGTAAGGGGAGTCTCAGCATATGGAAGAAACTGGATCTCAAAAGTATGCCTAGATGCCTAAAGTGGACAAGATGTACTATCGATACAATGACTTGCAGAATAGAACGTAAATCTGGTAGTGTCAGATGATGTAATATAACTTCGGCTGAATATTGAAATAAAACATATTCATGTATTGATCATCTATGTTTCTGTTTCTTGAGCACATGCTAGGAGGCTGAATTTCGAGCTAATTCTTGTCAGAGAAGAAAAGGGAGATCTGGTTGGGGTCAGATAGAACCCTTTATCATAGGCCTTCCAAGAGGAAGTACCTATGAAGGAGGCTCCATGGTTCTATCTCACGACCTGATACTGTAGAACGTGCAGGAAATGAAATATTTTGAAACATTTAAGTATTACATTGGAAGTCTTCACGAAGTACCGTGTTTATTACAAGTATTAACTTTATGTACAACCTGCAGAATCGTCTGAAGTTTGACCCTCTATTTCTCCAGTTAGGAGCATTGACACATAGAACCTTGTGGAACTGAGGTGACGATATATCGAAGGATTCATACATAGAAGTGCCTGGGAATCGAAATATCTATGTCGCCGCAGGCTTACAAGGGCGAAAGAAAAAACTTAACTCTGTTCATTACGGCTGACTGACTTCATGCTCAGCTGTGCTCTTGTCATTAATTGAAGTGGGACCTCTGTGCGTTGCACCTTTCAATCATGTCTGGCTGTGAGGTTTCAGGTATATTGCTTTCAGGTATACTCGGTGTATCCATCGTCAGGGTTGAGAAAACATTGCATTCCTACATCTTAACCCAATTCTAAGAAAAACAGTCGACAAGAGAGCACGTTATTTCCAAGTTGGATAGGGCCACAGTCAAAGGGGAAAAATCAGACATTGGCAAGAATAAGATAATTCTATAAATCACTCGTACCTATGGGCGGCCCAATATTTTGCCTTTCTTGAGAGGGCTTTATTTTCATTTTTCAAGCCGAAATGTCGGCAACATTTTCTAGACTTTATGGTATGGAAAGTAAGCAATATCTAGAATGAAAGCTTGATCTGACTTTTTCCCTCATAGAAGGAAGCCCTTTATATCCCCGATAGAAAAAGACTAGAGAGTTTATCATGTAACAGATTATTCTAAGATTATCGAAAGTAAAAGAATCGCAGACCTTTGGGACTGTCGCAGAAGGGGATGTCGCAGTATTCCCAGCTGAGATCCTCGAAAGAGACGAAACACCAGGGACGCTTCGCCATCGCAGGATTCCGACAATAGTTCGCGTCCTGCTCAATCATTATTCTGATGAAATCCCACTTCGCGGATTTCATTTGAAAGCGTTCATGTAAAGGAAGGAAGGAAAATAAGGAATCCGGAATTTTTCCCCCATCGGAGATTCCCTTCCATAGCAGACATTTCTTTCCAGATTCTGTTCGACTTCGCGTTCCTCTGTATTCCTTCCCCATTCCGGTCATACGACATTCCGGATATATGTGTGACATCTCATCTCCGTCTGGAATGAAAGTGCTAATGTGTGAAACATGGGTGGGCTTGAGTGCGTGGAAAAAGCATCAATTCATCAAAATAGAATCGCCAAAGAATTACAGTAATGAACAGCCTCTAACAAGGAATATATTAGTTAGAAATACATTTCCAACTGCTTAATATACGCTCTTTCTGTATTTAATTGGTTTTGATCCCATCATTAACAATATGATTCTTGCACCATTTTATCCTAATTGTGGACTTTTCTAACTGAAAGCTAAGCTTCGAAACTCAGTAAAACTTCACACTGCTCTTAGAAGAACTCCGGGTAAAAAGAAAATTTGGGATAATACATTCGATTCACAGCCATATTTAAACGTGGTTTGCATGACAGATCTATCATTTAAGTATTGACATTCCACAAGATAATTGAACGGTAGCTTTTAAGTCGTATGATTCACTCGACTCACACCCGCCTTCTGTCTTGCATGTCCTCTTCGTGCGTTCCTCAGCACAGAAACGCACGTCGCAGTATTCCCATGTATTTTCGGAGTCTCCAGATTTCTGGATGTTGCACCAGGGACCACCGGGCCTCCCAGTCGGATTCCGACAGTAGTTGTGTTCATCCGTGAGGATGTCAGGGAATGCCTGCTGCCTTTCTGCAAACATTTCTTCCAAGATTTCTCTCTCCCAACTCAGCCAAGGATTGCATGGGAAGCCTGAAATGGTATTGCTCTTAGAACCCATGTATTCCGCTCCCTTCTGAGTCAACTTGCATTCTGGTGCCCCTGAAAATATAATCCGAATACATACTTTTAAAAACGCAATCTCTGGACTTTCAGGATGATTTCCAGATAATGATGAAAATTGAGCGGTTCATGTGGATTATAGAATATATAGAGAGAGAGAGAGAGAGAGAGAGAGTAAGAGAAGTTATGTGGTGCCGAAATTGTTTGAAACTACCCAAGGGCAACAGAAAATGCCCAACCTTTGGACCCAGAAGCGCGGGACTTAGAGATGAGAGTAGAGAGTGAGAAATCTCTAATCCTACATGCTTCACACGAGTCTCAAGCCATCACATTAACTTCCACCCACGAAACAGCCCCAAATCAAAAGTTGGCACCATATTAAACTTAAACTTCAATAGCCGTGTATACCATTTACCTATTTAGCCAATATCTTTCTTTAATATTAGGTCCATTACTATAACACCAGCTGTCTGTTATCGTCAAAGATTCGCTTTGCATTCAGCAGCTTATGGTATACACGGCTAATCTTCATAACTGCAAGGGAGGTTGGGGCACTGTGGAGCATGGTACACGATGGACCACCTCCTCCGACGCCCCGAGATTGGAATTTACTGTCGCGAAAATCATGTTTGCCTCCACAACCCAGTGCAAGGACACAAGCGTTCTTGCATCCTTTTCAGATTTAGCTTTTCCGCGCAATTCTGTGGAAATAATAACGGTGGTAAATTTGGGGGAGTTGCATGGTAAAGATTATAATTATGTGTAATCTTCTCATTATACTGACTCTAGATGTTACTTTTTCCACAACGACCTTCAGCTTTCTCTCCATGAAAGGAATTGCAAAAAAAACGGACCGGACACCGTTGGCTGTGGGTCTCTATGATGCTCCATTCATTATGATGACAAAATATTATATCATCTTGCAGTTATTGATGATCTTGAAGCATTAAGAAAGGTGGTCCAATAAAACGATATAAAAAATGTCAAAATAATGAGAAGTTTTTTTTTAAGTAGCATTTTTTAGTCCTTATATTGGAAATGAAATTAAAGTCCAAAATAACAACAGGACGATGACAGAGATATAAAATATTAAAAAACAGAGATCAAAGCTCGACGGCCCGTGTTACCCCACGTTCAGCTCATCGGGCCATTATAAGCTGCAGCCGACAATCATGATCCAGGTGTGGAGCACCACAGAACATTAGAACATGAACTTTAAAATGTCCTCAAATGGATTCAAAATGTGCTGCAACGTTCTACTAGTGGAAGATGCTGAGGGATGCGTCAAACAGTACTTTACATTTCGCGGCAAAACGAAACTCTTGAGCACTAAATATTTAAAAAAGTGGTCCCTGGTACCCTATCCCCTCCCAAGGGAAATTCAACTACGCAGTGTACGACAAAATAAACAATAGCTTGATGAAATAGAAAACGAAGAAATCAGAAGGTATTTTAATTCCTTCAAGGTGACTAGACTCCGCCTGCTTAGTTCACTAACAAGGGGAAATCTTAAAAAAAAAAATAAGCAAACCCATACGGATACCTATTCATCCATCGGCAATTGATTGCATGAAAGGTTATCAAAACCATCAGGAAATATGGCCATCCAAAATGAAGAATTTTAGTGGAAGAGGAGTTTGATCTTCGCTCAACGAAATGAAAACGCAGAGCGAATACGACTCAACCTCTCCTTTTTTATCATCCAAACAAACGAAGAGCCCACCAGAAGTCCGATGCCTGTATCAGGTACAAAAGAATCCTCTCTGGGCATGCCCAACCTGCCATCTAGACAAGGAGGGGATCAATCCCTTATCGTGAACCGAATCCATTATCAGTAAGTGGAATCTTCATGGAATGTCTAACATAATCTTTCTAAAGAGAATAAAATTCAGTATGAAGCGGGCACTCACTCCAATCATTGCAAAGTGGAATCTCGCACGACTCCCACTTCAAGCCGTCTTCTTCGATGAAGCACCAGGGTTTCTCGTTCGACGTCGGATTCCGGCAGAAATTCTCGTGGGAGGATGGATCCTGGTTCAGGAAATGCTCGTCGAAAAACAAGATCTCGTCGAACCCTTTCCCAACTGTACTGTATGACGATGCCACATTTGGGGAATCCCATCTAAGGCAGGGTTTTCCTGTTTCTGTCAAGCTCACGGTTCCCGTGTATTCCTTCCCCCTCTCCGTCAGTCGGCATTCGGGATAAACTACTTCATCTAGGACAACAAATCGATGTTTGCAATGTTTTAGGCAAAGTTCATCGAGGTCAATTAGTGACACGAACCGAATACGATTCGTGTCACCGACTGTCACCTCACGGAATGCAGTTCACGGGAATAGCACCAACACATCAGTTCTCTTGGAGAACTTGCAATCGCATGAAGTCAATTTCAGCAATCCCATTCCACTTTTGCCACTCGATTTCCTCACGTATGACGATGCATAACACCGGAGGATCGTTTTGAGAAATTCCCCAATAAAAAATGCCTATGTCCATTGCAATGTTCCTCGCACTCCTCTCTGATTCCCAGTTTTGTCACAGCAACTTGAAATGATACAAAGTAGGCTCTTTAAATGTCAGGAACAGGCAATGAAATATTCTTGTTCCTGGCACTATTGATCTTCTCAATAATATCCCCTGATTAATTTATTTTTCTTACACGAATAGGATAGTATGCTTTTTACTGCAAAAGTGCAGAAAGATGTTTTTATTGGGGAATTTCTCAAAACGATAATCCTGTGTTATGTCAACAGTCGTGCTTACTCGAGTTTTCAATTCTCCTATAGTTCTTGAACAATCAAATGTTGCCGTTGCATACAAGCATACATTAATGCTGACTATTTACTCCCACCATTTTGAACCCCACTGGTCAAAATTTGAAAAGGAAATTTCTTTATTTTTGAAAAAGTATTGTATAGGGTGGAGCAAGAGGAGGTATATAGTTAGCTATTTATTCTTTATTAATAGATATTAATTTTTATTTATTACATTTAATAATTTTGTTTATTACTTTTCCAGTAGGTCTGTAACAGCCATTTTCGTTGCTTAAAAGTCAGGTTCCCTGCCATTATCCTCTACATATAAATACAAAAATTAAATTAAATTACTACTGTATAGAGACTTTTGCCCCACCCTGTATATTTTATTGCGAGTTTCCTGCCGTGTCCATGCAAATTTTCAGTCCAACATTATTTTTACACAAGTGCAACCTTGCACTTGCATTTTTCGAATGAAATTTTTTTCTTTGCATGAATCCTAATTCAGATAGACTGCTCGTTCAATACGAGTTTAAAATTAAACTAAATAAATAAACAAAACAAAAACAAAAGCCTGAAATTTAAATGTCGAATGTTTGGTTGGATCACATGGCTTCACCACTATTTGCATTAAGATCACACCAACCACGCTTCCAAAATGTGTTCCCAAATTAACCTGTGATGAAACTCACAGCGTAAAATTTGAAACCAAGGTTAAAAGGCATTTCACATTCCCCTATCCAAATGATTCCTAATAGCTGGTCCATCTCCCGTTGCTGTCGCTTCCGACAAAATCCTGGCCGACACCATGCGTTTGTGATGGTGACGTGTGTTTTCCGCAAGCCCGGCAAATTTCAGTCGTGATTCTGTTCACAGCGAATCTATCGCTCTTAGGAGGACTCAAGGAAGCTTACATTTTTCATTAATTCTGATATAAATATTCCTCATTTCTGTCATCATTCTTGTCTCTTTTCCCTAAAGAGAATGACGGCTCCTCAAACAGCAAAAAAGGCATTCAAAGAGAAAGAAGTCTTGAAGACACGCAGAGAGAGAGAGAGATGGAGAGAATCTGACGGACTCACAACGTATGAAGGTCAAATAGCCATCGGCCGGGATCATCTCGTGATTTCTAAAGCTGATCAGTTGACAGGATCCATCCGATGGGCGAAAGCTGAAAGTTCCGCAGGGAGCTTGCGGGTCGGCATGGACGCATTTCACGGCGCAACTTGCCGAACTCGCCTCTCGGGACTCTCGAGCCACGGCTTTGTATCTCTTTCCCGGGGAAGCCAACTGATATTCCAGGGATCCGTCCATCGGAATCACCCCTAGAATCAAGTGGATCAGGAGAAAGAGGAGCTGCGTCCACGCTTTCTCCATCTTGAATGAACAATCAAGGTCGATATGGATCCTGGAAGGGGGAACTGGAACTCTTTCCCGGTCTTTCAGGAATCATGCGGACAAACACGGTCGTGGTGATTAATGGTCTCGGGAGAGGTCCGGCTGGACTCATGCATTATTACGCTCTGGATTCGACTGCTGTTGCGGAACTTTTTTCAAGCACATCATTATTTATTCTTCTTTTGAGTTCTATGTTTTGCCTTTTCCAATCATTGACAAGATTATGCATGATGATTTGGGGGGGGGGGAGGAGAAGTTCTCAGAGTCCTTTAACTCCCTAATCTGAAAAGTAATTATATCCTCATCGCCAAAGAATAAAACAATTTGAGCACTCTTGATGAAACTTGGTACTAATGTACCTCTAAATCGATTCAGGTTTCATGAGCGTGGGATGAATATTCACGAAGAAAACTTGCGGAACACTCCAATTTCAATGGGAACGAGCGGGTCTCACTAACCCCTCAAAAAGGTCATCCAGAAGGATTTCATTGAAGTAGCGTGGCTGGAAAACTCTTGAAGTGAAATCGAGCGAGTGTCATAGGATGAGGCAATTCGGAGAAAACTTGTCAGGTTTCGGCATTTCGCAATTGGGACGGTGTTGAGAGTCTAACTGCAAGGCAGTAGTAAGATGACACCTCTGGAGGCAATTTCAGCAAATTGTTAAAGTTTTTTTTATCAATTTAGGGTGCTCGAGATGCATGCGCCAGCATCTTGCACTACCCAGATGCACGCACGCCAAGCATGAAAAGGAGGCAGACGCGGCCTTCATATTAGGAAACCCACGGAGCAGCAATGGAGAAGGACGACGGCGAGGCTCTGCTTTTTCTTCCGATCTTCTTCCAGCTCCCTCAGCGCGATACGGGCGTGCTAGGAGAGCCCCCACACGATCTCGACCTCGCATCACGACATGGGCTCTTCGAAGGAAGGGGTAGCTATGGAGATCGGGGGATGAGGGTATAGAAGCTTGGGAACTCCTGGATATTCCCATCGTTTCTCTTCTTTTTCTCACTCATTCGTGTGGCACAGATCTGCAGCGTCTCCGTAATGAAGCGTACCATACTCGTATAGTTAGACCTCACTCTTCCATCTTTCATATCTTGCATTTCTACTGGCCATTTCCTTTGATAGGTTTACCACATCTAAGTTGCCCCCAGTCTCCAGTATTACTCGACTTGGGAAAAAATGACTCAATCAATACAAAGATTCTTGCAACTTTTTTGGGGACAGAAATAGGAGTATAGACGACTCCGCATAATGGACTACTCCAGGAACTTGGGAACTTTATTTTACATTGCCTATTTAGCCAATATCTTTCTTTAATATTAGGTCCATTACTATAACACCAGCTGTCTGTTATCGTCAAAGAGTCGCTTTGCATTCAGCAGCTTATGGTATACACGGCTATTGAAGTTTAATATGGTGCCAACTTCTGATTTGGGGCTATTTCGTGGGTGGGAGTTAATGTGATGGCTTGAGACTCGTGTGAAGCAAGTATTCAATAGGATTAGAGATTTCTCACTACTCTCATCTCTAAGTCCCGCGCTTCTGGGTCCAAAGGTTGGGCATTTTCTGTTGCCCTTGGGTAGTCTCGAGCAATTTCGGCACCAAATAACTTTTCTTACTATATATATATATATATTAGTGAGAGAGTCATGCCGATCAAGCTAAACCTATAGCCAGCACGAGTCCCAATGGGCATTGGGAATCCCAATGGGCAGTACCTACTCCACGAACATGGCTAACCTTTTCCTGTTTTTCTATGAATCAAAGTTTATTAAAGAAAACCCTTTCTCTGAGAACTATGCCTTTACATTCCGATGCATAGATGATCTCCTGGGCATTAACAATGACAGGATAGATCGTGATACAAATAACATCTATCCGGATTGTATGGAAGTTGTAGAAACAACTCAACCACCATTTCTTAAGGCACACTACTTGGATTTAAACCTAAGATTTTCAAATTCGCAGATACTGACCAGAATCTACGATAAGAGAAGGGATTATTTCTTTAAAATACTGAACATGCCTATGCACAGCTCTAACATTTTCTCCCACATAATCATAAATGTGATAAAATCGCAGCTGAATAGATATATGCAAATCTGCGATTTAAAGGTTGGTTTCATTTTCAACAGCGATCTTCTTCATAAGACATTGAGACATAATGGATATCCAGGTTGGATGCTTAGCAAAAACTTCAAGCTCTTTAATAAAGCCCACTATTTGCCAATCTCAAACAAATATGGAGAGGTGGGTGGTGAATATATATTTTTCTCTTTCTTAAGGTACTAGGGACACCAAAAAATCGACCCCCCTGGATGGAAAATCTGTTCTGTAATTGTTGTAGAGGACCTCAAGGAAGGCCTCTGGAGCCCCTCACTGAGGTTCTCAGGTGAACCGCATGGCCAGAAAGTAGGGTCAAAGGTCACGGCTGACCCACTCCTCTTCGAAAGCCATTATCTCCTCAACCGCTTCACCTAAATTGCTGAATCTTGCACCATTCTCTTCGTCTTAAATAGTTCTTTCAGATGAATGTAAGAATGATTTTATCCGTTCGTTATTACGGGCGTGGTAACGCGAAAAGCAATTTCCTCGAAACCTTTGCACCTCCATAACTTGCGCAAAAATCAACGAATCTGAAAAAGCATACGTGAGTTTATGCGTTTCCTCCTGCTCTATATTTGT